ACTTTTCAAAACACTACAATGAAGCCTTTTTTAATAAGTACTTTTCGAATTACAAGGCTTGAACGTTATAATATCACTGGCGTTAGCGTTATATAACGTTCAATCGATAAAAAACTCGCTAAAAAACCTCTTGAATGTTGTTCAAGATCATGCTCCTATTCTTGAAAAGAAACGTATATGAAAAACTAGGGATATACTACTATAGTATCCATAACTATAGTATTTCCCTACTTTTTTGTATATGTTTCTTTCCAAGAATGAGGGCCCTGGGTAACATTTTCAAGACCATTGGAGATTGTTTCTCTTATTTTCATGTAAAAATGAATTTTTATTGTAAAAAGTGAACAACTTCCAATGGCCTTGACAAATGTTATCCAGGTCATGAATCTGAATAACATTCAAGATGTTTAGTCATTGATCGGACATCTTGAGTAACTCTAACACCAGTGATATTGTAATGTTCAGATCTTATAACTCGACAAGTATTGATTAAAAAAAATTTTATTATAGTACAAAAACGGATTTTTATTATATATTTTTTTAAGCGATTGCAGTGGGAGAGAAGTTCTATTATTATCAATATACATAAGAAAATTTATGATACCGCTGAAATTGGAACGTATGTGTATATAATCTAATATATAGTCTAATTTTAATAGCTTTAATCATGCGACTTTGTGTGATAAATTCTCCTTCCATCGAAAGAAAACATGAATTTACAAACACTTTTAATATTAATGACATAAACATTTTATATTTAAATAATGAACTATTATATAATCGATATTGCTTTTACATTAATTTTTATTTTCAATTAATTTAATTATTATGTTTTGACATTGAGGATGTCCTGATGAAGATTGAAATGTTTATATATTTAATGTTTATATCGATTGGATATTAAAGATAGATTAATCATTAGTACTTAATAACTAGTTTTGACTCGTAGCCTTTTTCTTCTGACAATTTTTATTTTTAAAACATTTTTGAGTCAAAATATTTTGATTATTCTTTATTATAGTGTTGAAAAGCTTTCGAGATAAGAATATAAGATAAGTATAATTATAAATTATTGCCAGGCGATTGAGAGCAGAATTGTGACACACCATTGTATTTATACCATATCGAACGTTTCGATTCAATTCGAACTATCCTCAATGATGTTAAAGTATTTCAATAAAGATTCAATCGTGAGATTCAAGATTCGAATATGCTGCACTCTTGATTTCGAATACGATTAAATAATTGCGAATGTTGAATTTGTTACTTGAACACATTGTTGAGGATGATTCGAACTGAGCTGAAACATTCGATATTGTATAAATAAATGGTAAAGTGTAACACAATTTTTATATATAACGCTCGAATAACAGCGTCACAATTTTGCTTTCAATTGCCTAGCAGTAATTCATAATTATACTTATTTGTTATCTCGAGAGCTCAATTTTATCTTATTTTAATTATTTAAGAATACAAGAATACGCAATAAAAAATGGGGAATTCCATTTAAGGAAGCATCGATCCCTAACTTTGAGAAGGTCACTGGAGGTCAAATCCATATTTGCACCATATGTCCCCCTTAATATCTTACAATTTCGTATGAAACATTTTTCCATATCTAGCTGTTTCCAAGATAATAGAGCCTGGATCAGACTTTATAGACACCTTGTATACTTAAGAAACCGATCTCTCAATAGCCAAATAGTCTGTAACGCAAATGACACATGGTATATTTTTAAATTCGTAAACTTCTCGAATTGATAAAGCCGATTACATTCCAAAGTCGAGAGATACCAATCGCAAAGCGTTCTTTCTTTAGAAAGCGATACATAAATTAATAAGCATTTCTTTCCTTTATATACTGCTATTAATAATATTTTTATGCTGATCATTTGCTATTACAATGCATGTGAAAAGATGCTTATCTGTTTTTTTTGTCTTTATAAAATAAAAGGCACGGAGTTCTTTTTTTTCTTTTTTACCCCTTACAATATTGTTTCTTAAATACCTTATTGAGAATTCAATAAAATGCGTTTAATTAAAATACGTTGAATTAAGTATGCAAATTAATCGATTCGCTTTATCAAAAAATGAGGTACTCATTCTAAATCAGCAATTTTAACAAATCATTCTTGAATGTTATCATTTGTGCTGCTTCATACATCAAACTGTAACTTTTACTCAAGTGTAAAAATAACAATGCGAGATATTCAATACTTTATAATGGAAAAATGTTGTGGACGCTAATCATAACACAATCAGTAGAGGCACTTTGAAAAAAAATGCATGGTCATGTAGATTTTCATGCATTTCATGCTCAAAGATTTTGTCTCTAATTGAAATACAATGTGGTAGCAAACGTACACATGTGCACAATTTAAGGTGTTTCACGTTTGATGCATTATTTATTCTTGTTTATAATATTCACTTAGAGAAAGACAAAATGCTGGTAACTATAAAAGTGACAACTATACAAGTTTTACATGTAGAATTGATGTATACATATGTGTGTGTAGTTAAATAAACTATTTTATAGTTATTCAAATTACATTAATTCTGCATATAAAGTTTATATAGTTGTCATCTTTATGGTTGTCATTATTGTGTTTTTTTCTAATTGTTCGATGATATAACGAATAAGGATACTTAAATAATGCATTATGCTTAAAACGAAACGCAGTAAAAGTATCTCCTAAAAATATGCTCGCTGATAAATAGATAGAGAGAGCATTATAATGTATATTTAATCACTGAATTTTTTAAACATTAACATGATGAATAATGGAGATCACTGAAGAAAATGCCAAAGTGCCCCTATTGAGTATGCTAACTAAAAGAGCATTAATTTTACGCTCTATAAAATCTACGCGTAGTAGTGTTTTTTATTATAAAATTATAACATCAGGATATAAAAATCTCGATTTGCGTAAGTGGCCTCGTTACTCTTTTATACATTCTTCTTTCTTATCTCTTAGCGAATTAATAGCGAATTTGGAAATTCGCGAAAATGTAGAATTCGTCAGCGTATTTTGTTATGCAAACGTTACAAAAAAATGAATTAAAAGCTATGCAATGGTGTACTTTGGTTTCGTTGAAACTGCGCGTTTTTGTATGCATTTATATATACATATACATACACACATATACATATATATATATATATTATATATATATATATATATTAATATATATACGCACATATATTGTATATTTATATGCGTTAAGGAATATTTAAAAATATTTCTGACATACATAAATGTGTAACAGGTTTTTCCCGTGAGTTTCTTGTGAACTGTATAATTTACTTAAGATATACAATAAATCAACAATTATATTTAAAATATATGAAAATTATTATGGAAAAACAGATATACTGAATTATTATTTTCCGGTATTACAATACAATCAATTATCATCGACTTTTTTCTTTGATTAAATGTCTTCGATGCTTGAGAAGCAACTTCTCATGCATATGTAGAACGATTCATTATAAATACTTATTTAAAACGTAAAACCTGCTCCTATATTCTGTAACTCGCTTCATGTACAAAATCTACGAAACAATAATACAACGTAGCTGTCATAATGAGTTATAGATTATAGAGGCTATAGACTTAAGCGGACACACAGACTCTTGAATAACGTATAACACGTAATGCATAAGAAAATGAACTAATCAAAGTCCTTCATTTCCTTCCTTTTCATGAAATAAAGAACTCTGATTGGTTGAATTTCATATGCCTTATGTGTTATGTATTAAGCAAGAGTTTGTGCTCCCCGCTTTATTCTGTAACTTTTAACTCAAATTATCATTATAACGCTGATGTGCAATTTTTTTACAATAATAAAAGAGCTGCGCAGTGGCGTACTACATGGCGTAATGTAATAATAACAAAACTTGCGTTAAGAATTACAGAATAGATTTGCTGATTCGACTTCGTCTTCAAATAAATAAAGATACGTATAACGCAGCCGCACAACACGCGCAACTGAGTAAATATATATTAAATCACCTTAAATAATGTACATAAACAAACCAAACTCAACATATGAAACTCTCAGCGATACTGGAGACTTACATCCTAATATTTTTACAATACAAAAGACGCTATTGGAGTGCTTATGAATATACAAAACATATACCGACACATATTTTTACTGTAGGCATTTCCAATCGACTTTTGAAATGGTTGAAGATGCTCGTATCGCACTTATTATATATTATGTAGCTTCTTCTTTAACTTCAACAATCATACGTATTTTCATCTGCTACATTTTATTAATGTATATACATCCAACGTATAAGACTCACACTGTATTATTCTATCAGTAAATTAAAACAATCTCGGTACTCGCGTTTCCTTTTTACCTTTCTCTCTTTCCAATAAAATTTTGTACTATTTGTTTAATTATACTGAGAGAATAGCAACCGACTGTAATAGAGACTGTTCTCAAACGAAATCTCCACACAGAGCGTCGATGTGTTCAATCAATAAATTACGTTAAAAAATATGAATGTCGGATATATGTATGTGTGTATACTTTAGAAGTTTTTATACCGTTACAGCAATCTGATATTCCGATAGGAATATTTTGACATATTACCGTCGGTAGGGCGGATTTTTGTAATTGGTTTGCGTGTAATTGTGCAAACTAGAACTTTCGCGAGCAAAACGTAAGTGAATTCTATCCTGTCGAGATAGAATTTTATTCTCTCGCGTTTTCCTCTGCACAAAATGATGATCATTTTAAGCCCACTCAATATAGTTTCTTCCAAACATGATGTCAAATAATCTTTATTATTATAATAAAACGGATATGTATGCTTTAATGCACTTTAATGCATTATTGTTGTTTTATGCATTTCGGACATAAATTCGGAATCAAATCTAAAATTTAGAAAATAAATATTTTATCTTTAACGAGTATTAATAATATATAACTAATAATATATATCATTATTTATATGTATTTATATGTACAAAAAAGTTATTCTCTCGATAAATACTGAATAATGATCCATAGAAAACACAATCGAGTGGGCTTTTCAAACGTGATAGAGGGCATGACAAATTCATGGTCCCGTATACTTTAATTTTTTTCCAAAGATGTTTCGACTAGATTTGATATATACTAACATACTAAAATCGTGCCAGCGATACTTTAAACCTGCGCCATACCTATATGAGACAAGGCTTCGGAGTACAATACCTCTCTATATCACACAGACTTACTTGAATTGTATACGTCGTAGGCATTATGCAAAAATCCTCTTCTTATATGTCGTAATTATAATTTGACGTTATACAAAATAATAATTTATGAGACTAGTGTGTTTTTCTCTTGTAGTAGGCCTGCATGCTTTCGTGCTAGTATCTTCGCATTTTCGTGTGCTATTGGTTTACTCATAAACTAAAGGGTGTAGGCACACAGTTAGCTTAGCTTTATACGTTTTGGTTGGCTCGTATTAGACGCATCTGAAATTCAATTTGTAATTTGTACCGAATAAATTTTTACATAATAAAAAGATAATACTTAATTGTTCTAAGAACAATCAAATACCTATTGTAATATGTAATATGTCTCACCTCCATTGGACGTTGCCCCAAAGCTATTAACTAAAGAGTAATTTTGACTTTTCTGAAATAGAAACAATTATTTAATATTTCGTCATACAATATAAGTAAAATCAATTTGCGAGATTACAATAGGTTTTCAAGAAAAATATTGAGATTTTGTCCAAGGAATTAAGGTAACCCAATGAGATCAATATAATAATTAATATATGCACTAAAGTATACTAACATCTCCCATTACAGCTATTGGCGTAGTCCCAGTTGCGATAGCTACTTGGTGTTCTATTAAATAAAACATGTACTCGTCATAAAGTAATCTAATAAGATGAAAAGATCCAAAACTCGCAGCACTCCTCAAAGTGAGATCTCGGATAACCATTGAGCTGTGGAAAGACATAATATATACATTTAATTGAAAAAATATTCGTTAATACGATAGAAAAATATATACCTATAAAACGACCACTTAAGCAAAAATTGACGCGCAGCTTTAGCAAATGTTGGCTTCTCCTCGTGTGGTTTAAGCGCTTGAGTAACAACTCCTTTCAACCAGATCGCCCAATCTTCCAGTGAATTTTGTTGTTGTAGTGTTACTTTAAAATCTGTTTCAAGACGTTGTACCATCCCATAGTCACATTGGCATACCCAGGATGCCTAAAAAGATGGTTGCGTATGTTATTTCTTCGTGAATATATTGCATGCGTATAAATATAGTCTAAATAGTTGCAATATTATTATAAATATAATCTCAATATTAAGTCTAAAAAGGATTATTTAAAAATATTTCAAGATGTTAACTTACTTGTTCTTGCACGTTGTGAAAATCAACGCGATTCAGGTCAGCTAACATTTGATTAATTTGACTAGAATTTTGAAGCACCGCTCGCGCGGCCTGTGCGAGATGATTTAATGATGTATAACGCCTTAAAGTTTGAGCAAAAGCTGACACTGCAGTTAACTGTAATCAAATATAATTATACTGCACATATTATGTTAACATATAATTTTTAATAATGATTAAAAAATTGTATAGAACTCTCCAATATTTAATAAATTAAAGATAAGAATATTAGGGGAAATAGGAGTTAATTACTGTGTGTAAATCGGTAATTACTGTTATAATTTATATTGTAATTGTGTGAAACAATATTTTAAGTTACATATCTTATTAGTATATATGTAACTGTACACGAAATGCGAGTTACAACAACTTGCTTTATACAATAAAGTTATCGCTTCATTCCGAGCAACCAACTGCAATGGACGTGATAATATTCTTAATGATGGATGGTCTACACCTGAGTTGCAACATAGGTACTCGTAGAATAAATTAAATTTCAATAACCCCGTTTTTTTTAATCATTGAAAATGATTTGAAAGTAAATCGAAATGCATTCGATAGAATTAACGATCGATAGTATATTCTTTTTTATCTTTGATTCTCTCTCTCTCTCTCTCTCTCCCTCCCTCTGACAGTATTCTTATATAGTTGATTCAAATAAGACAATACCTTAATTTGAGTCATTTCTTCAGGACAATCGGCCATCGCTGACTGTAACCAAGATTCCAATCCCTTTGCGAAGTTTCGGATAGATTGTGTCAATGAACCTTGCCAAAACAAAAAAAGCATTTAATACGTAGACAGAATAACAATAACAATTTAATCTTACAATAACATACTTGGTATCGGTCGCAATACATTAGGTATTAAAACATCGACTAGATTCTGATAGAATGTATAGTCCACTTTTTTTATAAAGTCTTGTACTCCCGTACACTGACACATCTGATATAGTTTGGTTCTGAAATAGAAATAAAAGATATTTATTGCGTTAAAAGTTTAAAAAAAAAGTGAAACAAATTAGAAAAATAATTACATATTAATTTTTTATGTAAAAGATAAATATAATTTTTTTGAAATATACTCAATATATGTATAATTCTCCTATATATTTGATACAAATTTCTTTAATAAATAATACATATGTCATATATACTTTGACAAATACTTCTCTTCTTCACATTCATCACCGTTATTATTGTCCTGGCTACGCCAGAATTCTCTCCAAAGGCTCTCTACCGTAGCAAATTCGAAATTCAGCACCGCATCCAAGAACGCTTCGCAGTGTTCTCTGTATATGCTGCGGAACGTATCAATGTCTTCAAGGGTGCAATCCTTGGGCAGGGACGAGTCGTGACTAATAAAGATGTCTGGGAAATCGGGAATGGCGCCACTTGCTTCACCGAGATACTGGTGATATTGTGGCGATGAGGAATTGGCGGAAATATTCGTGTTCGTGTGTGCGTTATTCTCGTAAGAAGAGTCCTGTTTTTGACTATTAAATTTGAATCGCTTGGCTTGAGAATTTGCGCTCTGCTGTTGTCTCGATGTGCTATCCTCGTTCATTACAGTTAGCTGTGAACTTGGCTTAACACGAATTCCATAATAATGATACTTTGAATTTCCCCTACAATAAAAAAGAATGATAAACGTTATAAATTTGATAAACACTGTTGATAAACACTATGTTTTCCTAATTGTTATTAAGCCTTTTACCTAGTGCCTAAACGCCTAGTTCTTAAGCCCAAGAATACAGAACGTATTAATTTGCCAAAACTAGCTGCATTCACAGGATCCAATTTGTTTTCGGAGCAATGACGTAGATAATGATTGTAAAGTGTTGATCTTGGAAGGGACACGCCGTCGGCGGTTTCGTAATTCTCCAATAACCAATGGACCTATTTTTTAAATTAATTGCATGAGAAATCAGTGCTTATGTTTTTTATAAATAAAAATAGTTTTTTATTGAATATTATATATAAAAGATAAAATAATTTTATTAAAAACAAAAAGTCAAACTGAACTGTTCTACGCAAAAAAATTATCTTATTAACATTTTTTTCTAAAATAAATTTATATTAACAGCAAACAAAAATAAATTAATCGTTTTTTTTAAAGATCTATCAATTGCATAACCATTTCTCACAATGTTTCTCGCAATAGAGATTCCATGAAAGAAAACTTTAAAAAATGCACAACAAAACATTAGAACACAATACAAAGCAATTAATAAGACATGCTACAAAAAATTAAAAAATTAAAGATACTGATTAATAAAATAAGCTATGAAATGCGCTAAATAAGCTATGAATTGCGGGGAATCGATTTTTCTTTTTTGGGCTTACGGTGGCCTGGGAGACTCTAGTAGCATGCGTCACGTTTGCCGCTACCTCTTCCACGGCTCCAGTCATATCTCCAGAATTACCGCTGATCAAGTATGCCCCGCCACCACCGCTAACCACAGCCTCCTATTAAACAACCCAACATACCGATGTTTTGTTAACCCCCGAATTAAGAAACGAACAAAGATGTAGCGTAGATGTACGTCTTTTTGAAACTACTAACATTCGTAATTCTGTTTGCAAACTTTATATTGGAAAAAAATCCGTAATACAATTATTTTAGAAACTACAATGAGAAAGATAAAAGCATTCATTTATATACAAAATGTTGGAAAAACTACTAGCGTACGAAAAATTAATATAAATTTTTTTCAACTTTTTAAGAAAATCTTACTAGTTACACTACAATTTACTGAACCACCCTGTTTGTACATACATTCTTGCCAAAAACTCTTGACGCTATAAACAATTGTCGATGGCTCATATAATCATGCAGAGCACAGATCCCCATGCCTGCAGCCATAAGGCATAAATATGTATCGTACAAAAGTATACATTAATCATTCAATGTAATCGAGACCACTTTATCTAGTGTCTGAAAGATGAAAGAGTAGCCTGAGAAAGTCATAAAACATGCAATTTACCGCCGTCTCTGTTGGCGGGCTGGTGCGCGTGGTAGCTGCGGATATGAGCGTGTGGGTCGGATCTGCATCTACTACGCTCTGTTGAATCAAGTACGTGCCATTGCCCTGCGACAACAGTTGTCCGGTAGTCGAATTCGTACCTTGTCCTGTGACCTGATGTAATATAAATAATGTTAATATCGTTACAATTTTATCATAATAATTATCACACTTTATTTGAACATGCAATTACCTGTGCATACGTGACTGGCGTTGTTGCTGGAGTGTAATATTGACCCGAAGCTGGAGTATACATTGCTCCCGTTTCGCCGACAGCGTAAACAGGATATGTCCTACATAAAGTATTTCGTTATTGTTATAGAAAGCATTCAGTAAACTATGAAAAAAAATAATATAAAAATAAAAATAATATAAATTATAAGCACAAGATATTTACATCTGGCCATTCGCTGGTATATACGTGGAGCCATCCCCTTCGACATATTGAACGTAAGTTGGATGAGAGATCGACTCGGACCCCACCGCCTCTGCGTCACCGGACACTAAAAAAGAAAAAACAACATAGTTGAATGTATTTGAATAAGGCATTTGTATTGATACATAAAACTCGCATAAACGCAAGAAATTTTGTTTTCACGTATTGTCATAAGCGTATTGTCATCTTAGAAATTTTCTTAATAGCCGAAAGATATTATATCTTTAATACTATACTATATTTGAAATAAAGGTTATTTTGTAAATGATTAACTTTATAAGTTATAATCATATTCACGTTTGTTGATGACTATGTATGGTGGCGATAGATATAGATGAGATAAACCAAATAATATTAAATATTAGCATATAAGAATGCAATCTGTTCATTGATCTTATAATTTCTACGAAATTAAATTGTAAAAATAATAAAACAAGGAGGACAAATAAGGCATGCTGTTTTATATTCTGCCCTCACCTACAGCTGTTGTGAGGGCTGCGTAGGGTGATGAATCACTGGTGCCTAGTATGGTCAGAGCAGAAGTACAGAGGTGCATGTTTTTCAGCAGCATGGAAAGGGCCAAATCTCTACTCAAACACTATAATTTTTCAACCGATCCTCATACTCACCGTAAATGGTAAATTTTATTTGCAATTACTTAAGTATCATACTCGATATTAATTTCTATTTATGCCCATGTACAATCGGTGCTATCTATAGTGTGTGATTGTTTGCAACTTGATGATTCGCAATTAGATTTGTGCATATCGCAATAAGATTAAATAAAGATCAAGTCTTTATTATTAGATAAGAAATTTATGTTTAGTTACCTGTGACTGTTATATAGTGCGGGGAACCACTGACAATGGTGCCAGCCGATGTAGAAGCAGCGTCAGAATCCACTAATGCGTGCTGACCAGAATGAGTAGTATTGACTACTACCTGTGCTGTAACATGCGCTGGTGTACCTGTTGAGCCGTTGGACGAATCTGCAGTTGTATCAAGTGGATCCTGAACCAATAACTAAATTATTATTTATAGTATGCGTGTCCTCATGGCCCATAACTTGATTTTATAATAGAAATTTAAAAAAAATGATATATGCCTCTTGTACATATGTGAATATTTATATGTTCAAAATAGAATTGACTTGAATTTTATTTCAACATTTGTGCATATCACTCTTATCAGTCCCTAGGAGCAGATGGCTCAAATATGTTATCAGATTGGATATACAGCACCTATAAAAGTATGCTGCAAACAGATGCTATATCAAAGATTATGTATATATTGAATCAATTTTTATATATCTTTTATTATATTCTCTTAAATTACAATAATAGAGAGTACCAGAGAGAAGAAAAAGCAATTTGACATGTACATAAATTATATTACAAGATGTTTTATATAACAATGACATTACAATCTTCATAATTCTTGAGAATAATGAAAATAATCATTCTCCTAAATCACATGGGCAAAAGGCATAACAGAGAAATAATGCAGGATAATATTACTAACCTGAATGGGTTGTAAGTTATTGGGACTGGAAGCGTCAGGGTTTGTCACGACAGTGATGAACTCTGGTTCTTGGCCTCTGGCAGACTGAGTCTGTGCTACACTGCCACCGCTACTGGAACTGGAAGTAGTAGTCACGACAACCACATTTTGCTTAGAATCCACCCCTACCGCCGTGGAGCTACCCCCACTGTTATTAGCCCCGGTGGATGCTGCTGCAAGGGCATACTGGGCTCCTGTCGTAGTCATGGCAATCACTCCTTCGTCTCTCTCTGCACCCACTGAGTCGTCGCCACCACCGCTACTACCTCTCCGCTGCTGGAGAGACGAATCTATAACAGAGAGATATACACATATACCATCTCACTAAATATCAATAACATCTTCTACCAGACCCAGCGGAGAGATCTTAAGAACAGCGTGCCTCTACAATCCTACCCAACATCAAGATCTCATCAAAACAAGAATATTACTGGTAATTATGAAACAAGATACATAAAATTCAAATAATCTTATAAATATTTTAAAATAAAGTATCACTTTAATATCTCTCCTTTGATATAAATTATTATATCTTACAAAATTACATAAAATTTAATTTAATTACATAAAATTTATTGTATAGAGTACAGGAACTCTTAAAAGTGTAAATTAAAAGAGAAAAATTTTCACATATAATTATAATGTTAAATATTAAACTCTCTCGTCTTTTAAATATTATTTCCCTTAAAAATGTGAATTTGAAATTATTTTCTGTACAATAGCTGCAAGATTGTTAACAAATTATACTCATATTGAAGAGCGCTAAGTACAGTCGCATAAACCAAGTTATCGTTACGAAGTAATAAAAAAGAAAGAACAAAGAGAGAGAGAGAGATAGAGAGAGAGCTATATATCGTGCTACTGATTTTCTAAGAATAACGACTTTAGCTTCGGAACGAAAAACTAATCTCGAATCGGCGAATCGCCTTTCGGAAACGAGCTGACAACAAGCGCGGCGCGCGCGTTGCCGAAGGAACGTCACGACAAGGATAAAATCGCTATCCGCGTCTCGGCCGTCGTCCTAACCTATATCGCAAAGATCGCAATATAACGTACTTTCCTCGCAGGTGCGGCGCATTCAATAATCTGCAGATCAAAGGGAAGCCCCGGCGGGCTTGCGATACGAATGGAACACGTCACTGCCATTATTACGCGCGTATATCATGGTGTATTGGCGCCGTGTACCTGTTGGGGCGGCACTGCAGGTACCAAACACAATGTATCAAGGGGAAGAAATCGGCCGGGGGCCGGGGAGAGAAAGAGAGAAGGGTGAAAAGGGGCGCGTGAGGGGTGTGAGGGTGTCCCAGAGCCACGGTGCGCTACCCACGCGTGACTGGACACAAGGCTCGCTTTAAGGGGGTTGGAAGGTTGGAACGTATAAATGAAGGCGGCACAGGATCACGAAAGCAATTAGAGAGTATTATCCTGAGTCCAGCGTTACAACCCTCGGCTCTTTTTCTCCAAGGATGGACCGGGGGCTAATAAACGACGCACACTATCGCGTTAATACGCTTCGTGAGGGAAAGGTGGCCATGTCATGTTTCTTCCCCATCTCTTTACGTCTCACTTCTCTGCAAACTGTGCAATAAAATACAAAAGATACATCATTTTATTTTATCTAGAGTATGCCTCTGTTCTAATATGAAAAATATAATATGAGATCCCCCTGTTAAAAACAAGGGAGAAAATCGTAGCATTGTTACTCGACACAGTATTGATCAGGAGAAAATTGTGTAATAGGATCTCATGTTTCCTATTTCGATATATTCATATCAACTAATTAATATAGGACTTGGTAGAGAGATGCACTAATATTACATCAATATAGTCCTTGTTCTAATAAAGCTAAAAGTCAAACACGTTAGACTTATTTTTTTTTAGCTTTTTAACTCATCTTTTTTCTTTTTTTTCCATGTTGAAAAAAAGAAAAAAAGATGATAGAGCAAAAAAAATCGTGCTAAAAAGAGAGAGCCTTAGGAAAAAAAAATTAATGAAGAAAATATTCATTGTTTGAATATAAATTTTGTATCATGTACAAATATACAATTTTTTTAAGCTAAGATTTTGAGAATATTTAAATATTAATTAATTCTTTCATATTTCTTTAAATAAAGCTTTCTGTTCTATTATTTTTTGAATATATACAAAATGAATATTAATGGTTAAATCAGTTTTTTATCATGGGAGATAAATTATCGACTGCAACTGGAAAAAGTATAAGAAACTAGACAACAAAAAGTTCAAAATCAGAACATAAGACGTTTTAAAGACATTTAAAAGATATTCAAAGTTATAATGTTCAACTAATAAATATTTTTTTCATTTATTTAATTTCATTCATTTTTTTCTTTTTTTCGTAAGGCTTGTTCTTTTTAATTTTTTTGCATAATTCACCTTTTCTCTCTTTTTCTTCAACGTGAAAAAAATAATATAAATGGCTTTTGATTTTATTCTTTCCAGTTGCTATCGAATTTATCACTTATGGTAAAAAGTTAGTTCAACTATTAATTGATATTTATTGATATTTGCTTTATCTAACGTTATATTTGAAGAGATATCTTACGTAGCATTTTGCTGCTAATATTATTGGTGGGCTGATATGATGGCCTGTGTTTGTACCCTACACACACTGTAATATTACAAGTGCACCTGGCCTCTGTTATGCATGGTTGATGGGGAGGGACTTATGTTGTCTGCAAGTCCTTCCTATCCATAGGATATGTTTATGTATTCTGTACATATATCGACTTCCCCTGTGTAATTTGTACATGAGAAATCATTATTTAGACTTGTTACATAGAAGCTACATTTTTGCTTTTTATATTAATATATCCACTCCAGTTCTCCTCCACTCCAGTATCCTGGAAGCGATGTGCACCTGGAGTCAGATAAACTCACAGACTGAGAACTTATGCAGATGTTGAAAAGTAAAATGATAGAGAGATAAGGGACAGATAGCACGAAATCAAACGACAAATATTGGAAGGGAAATTAAACCATGAAAAAATAAAAATTAAACGTACTTCTAATATCATTTGCAAAAGTGCATTCAGACTGTCTCTCAAAGCAAACCAAGGCAAAGATGATTGAAAAGGATTAATACATTCATCAGAGCTGCAGGGTGGAAGATCGCATTCATGTAATTGGTAAATCCATTTTAATTGGAAATCTTTATTGCATCTTCATATTAGATGCCCTATAGGAAGTACAGTATAATAGGTTCATCAATGCGTTACAAATTAGGGGAATCTATCTAAAGCAGATCTCTTTGCAGAGAATATTACAAAGGTATCACCCTGTTACGATACAACATTCAAACTGAATCAGCATCCCTCAACAGATCAATATATCGTGCCAAGAATTGAAATCATAAAACTATATCTAAAAAGAATCCCCAAAAAAGCCAGACTTTGCTCTCTGCCCTAACTCCAGGTTCTCGTTTGAATAAACCAGGTAAAATCGATTCTAACAAATGGTTCACCCTACCTAGGAATATTTCTCGTGAGTTGTTTGCGTTATAGATTCAATGTGATCTACATCGCCCCAACGAGCGATATTCTATGTTAAGGTGTTTTTCACCCAAAAGATACATGACAGTGTAACACAACGCATTGTTTTATCTTTCCTCAAAGTTGACAAATAATAAGCATGTAATGATTAAAGCATTATGTTATGGGCTTTCTACGATAAGCCATTATCTAAACTTTAAGTCTTAAGTCATAAGACATTGGCCAATCATAGTCGATTATTCTTCTCACATTTGACTGACTGATTAATTTTCTACAGCTTAAAATTTAAAGCTAACGAGTTTTCTATTGATAAACCATTACCTAAGTTTTAAGTCTTAAGCCATAATAATTGACTAATAGTCAATTATTCTTCTCACATTAGACTGTCATTGGTCAATTTCTTACAGTTTAACGAGCTTTCTACAATAAGTCATTGCTTTAAGTCTTAAGCTATAAAAAATTGATCATAATTGATTATTTGTACATTCGATGATGATTGGTTAATTTTTTATGATTTAAGACTTAAAACTAAATAATAGCTTATTGTAGAATATGTGAACATTGAGCATTATTCTATCTTTCTTGACATTCAATAAGTAATAAAAATAGAAAGGTAGAAAAAGAGAAGAGAAAATAAGTAGCAAAGATAAAAGATAGAAAGCAGAGAAAGTGAATAACAAAGAACAATACTTGTGTTGATTTCATTTGATTTCATTGAATAAAAAGCACTGTTATACTGTGTCTTGTCATTTGTGCTTTCCAGCAAGAGACACGAATGACATAGTATAACCTGTGTAACATAATAATTATGTTTTTGCCAATGTTAAACGGAAATGAAATAATTGTATTATAATGATTGCATTTAGCAGAGAAAGCAGCTTTATGACTATTATAAAATTCGATTAGTCTTGTTCTCAGTTTCTCACTGTATCTAAATGTAAAGAAATCATATTACTATGTCTCTTGCTAGAAAATATCTTATGGCTGTTTTCCTTTTAGGAAGACAGCTGTCATAAACGTCATTCTATCCTTCTTGGCACTCAATGATCAAGAAAGATAAAACGACACTTGTGTCAACTGTGTCTCATAAAAAGGAAAGCAGCTTAAATATTCGAGTTCTGACAGATAGTCAGGAAGACTCTCACGATTCTCTGCTCGGATCTTTACATCCTCGCAAGCATGCTGTGTCTATAAGTGAAACCGTCGGGAGGATGATTCGCGACGACGTCGGCGTTTCCGTCGGCCCGATGTTGAGCGGGACAGTGACGGAATATGTTTGTCTTTTTCTCTTTCTCTCTCTTATTTGCACTCACCTGTCTTCATGAATGGCGTGTGCTCGAACGCAGCGGCGCCCGGGCGCACTTGCGCGGCCGAACGACGTGTCCCTCCGTCGTCGTCGTCGTCGTCGTCGAGCGGGCGCGCTCTCTTTATCTCCTTTTCACTCTCTCTCTCTCTCTCTTTCTTCTTTAGGCGCGCGCGCGGGCGCGCTCCTTTTCGTTACTGCCTTGGTCTCGAAGGCGACAGCCCGTCACCCAGGAAACCGCGCGCCACAGTCGGCTCGTAGAGCTCTCCGGGCGGCCA